TGGGTAGGGGCTGGTCTGTCAGGTGGCGGTGGCACCTGCGGTGCGAACTTTTCCGGGATACGTCTAGACACCCCAAGAAGTTTCGGAGATGTATATTCCGCCATGGAAATTACCATTGTCGACCAAGTCGTAAACACTGCTGGTAGAGAGGATGGTATCGGGAGCAAGAGCAATACACAGTGCCACGAATCGCCTCGAACTCCAATTTTTCCGTTGCAGTCTGCCGCGGGGGGAGGGGAGGGTGGGGCGTACTCTTGTGTTTTGCATGCCTCGGCGGTTAGACCATTGACCAGGCGTCCTCCAGAGGACGGAGTATTGTTCCCCAGGACCATCGCCGATGGCCAGTCATTCCTTCCTACTTCGCCAAAGGTGGCTCAAAAAAACTTCCCTAGCTGTGGAGGTCAGGATATGGAGATTCAGTGAGCACAGATACACGTATATAAAGAGTAGGATCTGAGGGAAGATGTGATTATAGACTACCGTTCTCCGAGGGTCCACAACTCTTGTGATTCCCAACGGCTGCGAAGAGTTGATTAATCTTTAGAAGGATGGGAAAATGGGTCCACGAAGGCTCGCCCACTCTCCGCACCACCCTAGCTTGACTGACTTCGCTCGGTCACGCTTGGCATTCCTCGCCACATTGTACCAAAGTAAATAGCCAACCTCCGGTGGAAGGACATAGCCACCACATCCCCGGACTCTCCGCTCACCCAGAGTAGAGGGCTCCATGTTGGAATTCGACGAAGCGTTCTATCTTTGCAACCCACGTGTGAAACATGGGCTCCAATCCAAGGAAGCAAGGGAAGAAAAAGGACAGAGGGTCGCAACAACAGCAGCAACAGCAAAAAAGCAAAAGCAGCTGACGCCCAAACCGCCAGCAACGCCGCGTCCCGACCCTGCTGCCACTACCAATCATGGCTCGACTAAGCCCCAAGAAGGACAGCCGAAGCCTGCCCAAGCTGGGGAATCCGTCGGTGCGGCTGCGAGCGTAGCACCCTCGCAGAGCAGTCACCATCGCGGGTATTTCCACGCCCTGGTCGGTGACGGTCGTGACAGCGACAACAACAGCAGCGCTAGCCACGGCGCCAAGGCTGGTAAAATCCAAACCCTCGACACCGACCCACCCCCTGACGACGACGATGACGATGACGACGACGTCGACGACGACCTCGCACACGACATCCTGCATAACCGCGCCGACGCCGCCAGTCAGCAGAGTGCAGCGCTCCTGGCAAGCGGCGGGCCGCTGGAGGCCGTTCTCGTCAGCGCGGTCTCCAAGGCAGTGGAGGCGGAGAAGGCCCCGCCGGCATGGGTTCTTAGCATGCTTATACCAGGAGCCGCTCACCAGCAAGACATCCAGAAGGTGAATCCGCGTTCGCTTGCCCCCGATCTAGAAGCAGAAAATCGCTCTGGTATGCACACCGCAGCAAGTGTTCAACAGACCCCTGCTAGGAATATGTCTACACCGACAATTATTAACCCGGTACACCACAACACGGTAAACCAGGCCTCACTGAACCAGGTAAACCAGCAAACGGTAAACCAGGACAACATTACCCCGGTAACCCAAAGCACGGTAAACCAGGACGTGATTAGCACGGCGCGATTTCCTTTGAAAGCTACTGACCTACCTCCTGATCTCAAGCTCGAGGGTCTGCCTCACGAAGATGTTCCGGAAAAAATGGCACTCTACAGGGCACACATCGGTCTGTTGTCGGCAGACAACGTCTCTCAAAGCACAATCGATCACCGCGTAATCAAACATCTCGCGCTCTGCTTGCGATCTTGCGAGGTGCCGCAGCTCAAAGTCTCAGCCTCATGCTTAGCTCATCTCTCGAATGACGACCGCCAGCTCAGCTAAATGCGTTGCGTGCACGTGGGGAAGTGGTCCGAGTCACACCACCGAAAACATGGAAGGAATGGGTCACGGCTTTTACCACATCGTTCGCCCCCGCCAACCGGATTGCTCTTCTTGCACGTGATGTCATGACATTAAAAGCGAAGACTAGCGAATCAGTTGACGTGTTTGCGCTCAGATTATCACGCGCGTATGCCAGACTTCTAGCCGAAGCTGAACGCAAAGCTCCGCTGAATATACCACCTCATGAACACGCTTTCAACCAAGCTCTCACTGCATCTTTCGAAAACGGTGTACACCCCCACATTCGCGTGGAGATGATGCGGGTAGATCCATCCGATTCTTTCATGGAGTCGAAGCGCGTGCTCGTAGGCACGAGTCCAACAAACTGCGCTCGCCCCCTGCCCCCATCTTGTCTATCGCCCCTACCGTATACGGCTCTGCTCGCCCCGGGCAGCTCCAAAGTACTGCGGACGACAACAAGAACCGCATCACTGCCATTGAAAACTATATTTCAGGGCAGGAGGCGTTTTTGTCCAGTGGTGGAGCATACGGCGCGCAACGCGGTGGGCGTGCTCAGCGGGGGACCGACAAACGTGACAAGGATTTTTCCAAATCCCGGGGTCCTCCCGTCCGGGCGAAGGCGAAAGTATCGTTCGCTGATACTGCCAAGCCCGACACCGCCAAACATAGGAAGGAATGTGACTTTATTGGTTGCCGATTCGGTAACGTACGCTTCACGCACACCCGCGCGGAGTGCAAAAACGAAGAGACCGCCAAAAATGAGGGGTACACGGTTACAAAAAACTAGGGTCGCCCGAGTAGGCAGCATCCCTCGGCCAACGTGGGACACCAATCATTTGGTTCTGTCAAACCAGTACGTACAAACTGGGGTAGACTGCAAAGCACGAGCAAGCAGAAGAGAGCCAGAGTAGATGGATTCAAAACACTGTAACAATAGTGTACGATCTCTGGTGGGAACAACAAGAAAAGCAGCCAACGAGCAGCGTTGTAGAAAGACAGTTGAAGTACATGTACCACGAGAACATTCTCGCGAAGATTGTAGCAGCAAGCCAACGCGAGGAGTCCCGAAGTCAAGTACCCGCACAACTGATGCAGTAGCCGCTGTAGATCCAGCACTAGGGGATAGCACCCAAGTAAGGCAGGTAGCCGCCTGTTTAGCGCCGCAAGCCTTGCACGTAGCTACCGTAGCTGGGGACTTCAGTTCGAAACAAAGGTCTAACCTAATGAGAACTGACCGTAATGAAGAATTTCATGCTTTTTACATGTCTGCACTCGCTGGATATCCCGTGTGTCCATCGGTATTGCGATCGACATCCAAGCGAGTGCGTGTACCAGCCAGAATAAACAATGAATCGGTTAATGAAATAGCAATGGACACGGCGTGTGACATACCATGCATTTCACGGAAGTTCATGAGAAGTCACAAAACGTTGGAACACACGGAAATATTTCCAGTACCCTCGGGAGCAATCAATCTGCGCAGCGCCGATGGTTCGCCCCTAAAAATTGCAGCGTACACTCGATTTGAACTGACACTAGGAGAAATCACGTTACCTGTTGAAGCTCTAGTGCTGCCGTCGTTGGGACCTGATTGGGCGCATGGTGGTGTTCTTGATTGGCAAGCGGAAGAATTGTCGTTTAAAACAACCAAAATTCCAGCAGTCCACCACGACCGATCAGGAAAACAGTATGAACTGTTCTGTGGTAGCAGTAGAGACGGACACGCCTGCAGTGCCTGTATACACTACACGGAAATGCAGCATACCTGCACAACATGAAATATCTGTCGAAGTTCATTCGCTTGAGGCACCAGGTGAAACCACAGCTGCCGTAGTTAAACCACGCATCGTTACGTCTGATGACGTTGGCAAGCAGGATACGCCAGATGCATTCCGTAGGGTGATAGTAGCACGCACAGTATGTCACTGGTATAGGCACAACAAAAGTGCAATGGTACAACTGGCCAACCCTTCTCACAGACCGGTATCCCCAAAGAGAAATACACGTATCGGCCATATTTCTCCAGTGAAAACAGCACTGCCGCAAACAATGAGCAGCGTTCAAGCGAGCCCTGAAGGAACGGAATAATTCCGTACAGATCTCAAGAAGGCATAAGCCAAGGCTTTCAGAGATAAAACTTTTTCGCCCGACCAGTGTGAAGAAATACTTAAACTGTGCACCAATACCGTTCAGTATTCTCCCTGAGTCCTAAAGAACTGGGTAAATGTACTCTCACAGAGGCTGATTTTCCATTGCAACCAGGAACAAAGCCAGTCAACAGAGCTCCATATCGTGCAGATCCACGAATGCAAGAGGTTATTGACAAATGTGTTGGTGAAATGGAAGAAGCTGGGATAATCGAGCAAAGAGCGAGCCCATGGGGGTCAGCAGTAACGTTGGTAGCAAAAGCTGACGGCAGTCCCCGGTTCTGTGTAGATAACAGAGCGACGACCAACAAGAATTTAATTCGTAAATCGTGGCCAATGCCTGAGATGGCAAGTCATATTGACACAGTAGCAGGTGCTAAATACATCACAGTCTGCGATGTACAAAGTGCATACCACCAAATACCAATTGCCGAAGCAGAACACGGCAAGACTGCATTCGTAGCTCGGGACGGAAAATGGGTTTTTGAACGACTCCCCTTTGGCATCGCCAAGGCGCCTTTTCTGTTTCAACGTACGATGGCATTGACTTTCGCACATTTTGGTTCAGAAGCTGGTCTTCTCGTGTACATGGATGATCTTTTTTGTTGTTGATCAACGTTGGAAGGTCATATCACTCTTTTGGAAAATACCTTTCAAGCGCTACAAGCCGCAGGTCTCACATTAAACCATCAAAGGTACAAACTTGGGCCAAAGGAAGTGAAGTATTTGGGGCATATTCTTTCCGCAGATGGCATACGTTTAGGTGGAGATCGGATAAAATCGATACTAGAGTTACCAACGCCAACAAACATCAAAAACTTGCGATCAGTCCTAGGAACGGTCAACTATGTCAGGAAATTCATCCCAGACTTCGCCGCCGTCACCGCACCAATGGTTGACCTTACGAAGAAAGACGCAGTGAAGTCGGTAGCGAAACGCTGGGGTCCGAAACATGATGAAGCATTTGCCGAAGTGAAACGATTACTCACCAACGCTCCTGTTTTGCATTTTCCGGACTTCTCTAAAGAGTTTGTTATCCACGTATACGCATCTGAAGTGGGAGCAGGAGCATTCCTGGCACAACAGAATGGCGATGACGTGAATATCGTAGCATACTTTAGCCAGCGATTCAACAAAAGCCAACAACACTACTCTGCCACCATGAAAGAATGCTATGCTGTTGTTCTAGCAAATCAACACTGGGGTCCTTGTTTATGGGGTAGACATTTTACGTGCGTAGCTGATCATGCGGCAGTGCAATATCTTCATACGATGCAAGACACGTCAAATATGCTCACTAGATGGGCAATAGCACTGTCATCCTTCGATTTCACGGTAAAACATAAACCGGGAAAGTTGCATGTAGTGCCGGATACGTTATCGCGACTGTTCGTGTTCGATAATGAACAAGAACGAACTGCGCCGACCCTTGCACCGATTTGCCGAAATGTACGGAACGATCCAAAGCTGCAACAACACATACCAAACAGACCATACCAAGTCTCGGCTGACAAATTGGATGATGTGCAACCAGTCCTTAGGGATAGTGAATTATTCACAGTTGATTCGAATTTCCTCAGCGCCACGGAAGTATTTGAATCTGCCAAGCATGAGAAATTGCGCGAGAAACAAGCCGAAGAATACGGCGAATACGTCCAACACAGTTTAGACGCCAAAGCACCGCTACCAGACAACGAAACGGCAAGATCAATGTCGTAGTATTCCATACAAGACGGTTTACTGTTTAAATCGTATCTGCCAGGACACCTACGAAAACGAAGCACTCGTAGTGATCAACTTGTAGTCCCACTTGACCTCACCGGTTTAGTGATGCATGCATATCATGATCACGCTCTTTCAGGTGGACACCTCGCATTTCGTCCAACGTACGAAAAAATACGACAAAAATGTTGGTGGCAGTCAATCAACCGTGACATTCGGACTTGGTGCCTAGAATGCCAGGCCTGTCAACGGAGAAAGACACCTCACCGCCGTCCGAAACTGTCGATGGGTCACGTACCTGTACAGCGGCCATTTGAAAGAGTATCAGTCGATCTAGTCGAATACAAATCACTCTCAATGTCAGCAGTGAGATGTAAATGCGTGCTTTCCATGATGGACCACTTGATGCGTTATGCAATTCTCACACCAGTTTCAAACAAAACTGCTGAAACCGTGGCACGTGTAGTCATTGATCGGATTATCAGTATCTCTGGCCCGCCTGAAATGCTGCACTCTGATCAAGGCACTGAATTCGAAAACAAGATAATCTATCAGTTGCAAACAATCCTGGGCTACAAGAAAACACGCACGACGCCGTATCGTCCGCAAGGAAAATCGGTCTCTGAGCGTGTGCATTCAACGATGCATTCCATGCTCGCAATGCATAACTCCATGAATCGTGACAACTGGGCGGATCTCCTGCCAATGGTTCAACTAGCGTATAATACGTCGTTTAATAAAACCATGCATGAGACTCCGTACTTCTTGTTGTTTGGTCGCCAAGCACGTTTACAGGTAGATGTAATTCTCGGAATCCCACATGTAGGATCAACTGCAGATACCGAGAGTTTTGCTTTAAAGAACACGAGAAAATCTACAAATTGCTTTCGAACTAGCGCGAAGAACCCTCACGGAACGTGCAGGGAAGCAAGCTGCGAAAAACGAAAACTTACCGCAGTACCCCGTCTTTAAACCTGGTCAACAAGTACTCGTTCACCGACCACACCAGGATTCAGATGGACCAAATCCGAAGCTGTTCTTACCTTGGCGGGGACCGTATACCATCTGCTCACAACTGTCGCCAGTTGTGTATAGGGTGAAGCAAGTCAATGAAACACGAGAAATATCCGTGCATCTTGCCCATCTAAAACAGTACCATGAGAGGGAAAAACCGCCAGCACCACAGTTTGGAAAAGTGGCTGAATATTTCCTTGGGAAACAACTTCCCTTACCTGCCCTGACAGCAACGACGAAAATCAACCGAAAATTGCAAGATACGTCGCACTGAAAGTAGAAGGGCATCGAAGCGGTCAAGGCCGAAAAGGTCCGCACAATTATCGATATCGTCTAAGACTGAAATGATACGGTCCTGAATCAGATGTGATGTATCGTGCCGACGAAGTGCCGCAATGCCACGAAATGATTTCCGCATACCGATCAAAACATGATCTGGACATCGCGCACGCCAAGAAATCGTCCGAAGTGCCGCAGAAAATAGCGAAACGAAAACGCGACGAATGAAGGGATCCGAGTACAAACAAACGCGCAACGCACAATGCAAGGCCAAACACGTTGTGTACCAAGCCAGAAAAATGCGTCAACAAGAAAAGTACTCAGCGGAGAAGTAAACGAAGTCCGAAGGCAAACAAAAGATGCATTTCCAAAGTGTCTAAACGGTGAAAGGAACAGCATCCAAACAGTAAGGTTGCTATCCAGCATTTAGTAGGTCAAATGCTGGCGAGGAGATGTCAAGTTAACCGGTGTCAAGTGGAATTGAGGGTTGCAACTCGATGACACTAATCGTGAGTAACGAAAACAGTCTTAAGACTGTCAAACACCGTATGCCTATCGAACTCAATAAGCAACACGATTGCTTACACCCAGCGGTATGGTTACGCGAAGCAGAACCCGCACAAGTAAATTCTTGATACTTCACAAGAATAAACTTTGAACCATCATTGATTGACATCAATACCTGGTAGCTTGTACGAGCCTTGGTGAGATTAAATCCGTACGGTGTTGCTTTCAACACGTGTGTAGTCCACACGGCACTGTCAGCTGTTTTCGGACATTGATGGAGAGATTTAATTTTCGAAGAGCTCTATCTGGATCCAATGATACATCCGTACCTGCTCCACTACAATTAACATGCAAACATGCATGTGCGCCAAAACCCATTTTCAATAAGCTGAGCTTTCGGCGAAGAAAAAGGGGGGCTACGTGGAGGTCAGGATATGGAGATTCAGGGAGCACAGATACACGTACATCGAGAGTAGGATCTGAGGGAAGATATGATAATAGATAACAGTTCTCCCGAGGGTCCACAACTCTTATGATTCCCAACGGCTGCGAAGAGTTGATTAATCTTTAGAAGGATGGGAAAATGGGTCCACGAAGGTTCGCCCACTCTCCGCACCACCCTAGCTTGACTGACTTCGCTCGGTCACGCTTGGCATTCCTCTCCACATTGTACCAAAGTAATAGCCAACCTCCGGTGGCAGGACATAGCCACCACATCCCCGGACTCTCCGCTCACCCAGAGTAGAGGGATCCATATAGCCTGTCTATCCTATCGATATCACCCCCCGCCCTTTCAACCCACTTCCCATCCCAGTACAGCCACCGTCTTCTCCTGGCCATTCCATGCCTCAACCATCTCCCTGTATCTCCTTTAACTTTACCTAGCTCAGTTTCACTTCCCTCTCCTTCTTGTACAACGGACATTCCGCAACTACATGAACTCAGTCTTCGCACTCAGAGCCGCATTCACATTTGAAGTTGTCGTCTTCATAGTCTACCTTCCGAAATCTTCGTCTACGTTCTCGAAGGCCACTGTAAGTGTGCTCCATTCCGAAGGGATACTGCTGCAAAGTGATCAACTATCGGTTGACGAACGCATACAGAATGAGTACACCCTTCTCCCCGAGGCACAAACTCACTCCGCCAGCAACCCACACAAGACGACACTCACCTTTCGTCATACCCACGTCTCGAGTCGTGGGCCGGAGATATGTATGTACTAGGTATGTATTGTTTTATCATTGTTATCTTGTGGTCCAACCAAGAGCCTGATGGATGTTACCCCATCCCACCCACCTCCGTTGGGCAGGTTTCAATAGATGAAGTCGACAAATTCCCCACTTTGCCCGGTCGATCCCCTCCCGTTTTATATGCACACGACGCACGACCGTGTTGAATAGGCACCCAAAAACATACTCGTAGTATCATATTTCCCTCTTCTCTCTCGCCCTTCTTTTTTGCCTTCCCGCCCCATGCATGTTGCACACGATGTTGATGACGTACAGCTTCGTTCACCGTGCCCCGTTTCTCTGGCCCCCACTGCCGTTCCATTTGTCCGCATTTTAGCCCGACCAAGAGCCGCGTCTACACGCCTTCGATCCCGGCTAGACGTAGCCCCGTCGGAGGCAAACGGTGATGGCGACTATTCCAGAGAAGAAGAGCAACCCGAGGATGCGGCAGGCGATGACGCGCAGAGGTTGATGAGCTCGCTGGAGTCTTCCGATCTGTTTAGTCGGGGGGCTGGTGCGGGCGGCGAGGGCGAGCGCGGGGGTGGGGGTGGGGGTGGGGCGGGGTTGGCGGCGGCAGCCAGTAAGGCCGTGGCGGACATCGAGGAGCCGGGAAAGCTGGTGCTCGAGGCGGCGAAGCCGTTCCGCGACGAGATGGACCGAATCCAGGCGGAGTTCCAGAGGAACGTGGCGGAAAAGGAGGAGGAGATGGACAAAAAGCTTGAAGACATGCTGAAAAACATCGACGGGAGCAAGTGATGGAAGATACAAAACGAATCGAAACGCGTCTCGCGTGCGTGCTGATAGATTTAGAGAGGTCGATCCCCGATGTCGAGGACGATTCCCCCTTTTCATGTTGGCGTCGCGTTGAGACGTCTGCTTCTGGTGGAAGAGAGCCCTCTGAGTCAATCGTTCGATACGTGGGGGTCCTACTTGCGCGCCCTGAGTGAGGAGTCTCAGGCAATCTAGACGTGTCCAGACAAAATAATATTTAGACTTAATATCAAATTATAAAAATAATCATGACAATACTAATTTCTTTGGTGATGCGAAAGTTATAATAACAGCTGCATGTGTTTTTGTCTCAGAAGCATGTGCGTAATCACACGGCTGGAACAGGGACGATGGAGGCATGCCTCTCACGACACGATCTTGTGTAAACATGCATTCCGACGTGCGTCATGTCCTAACAAACGCAGCAGATAAAGGCACCACACACATCGCTGTACTACAGCAACAGTGGTGCAGCCGCCGCATTCCCAAAAAGCGAGCGGTATCCTTTCGGTGTCGGAAGGGTTGAAAACACCCAAATGCGCTTTTATGTCCACGTACGTCATGTATGCATGTGAATTTTCACAAGCTCAAGCTTTGCCTTCCCTTTCGCCAAAGTGTGGCCAACAAACTGAATCGTAGTTGCGGAACCGTCTCCTAAGCGGGTGACGCGGAAGGGGAGCAACCACGGCAGTGAAAAAATTTCCGTCACAGTTCAGGATGCGACGCCTCGTCGATATTTGCAAACATTCAAGACACCCAACACCCAACAGGATAAGAAATAAAGATATGAACCATGAACCATGAAGCCTTCCTTCCCCGAATACCACCTTTTCACCCGGCTTTGCCGAGAGCATTCAAAACGCCCAGCGCTCACTCCTCCGCCGCCTCTCTCTACAGTGCCGTACCAAAATATGTACTTCCTATTATCGACATCGACCTGCCCATCCCCGCTTTCCACATTGAACCAGGAATCACTGGCGTTCGCCTTGTCTCAGGACCCTAACTGTTGTTTACGCTACATACTACCACAAGCGCCAGGGCATCGCTGTAGACTAGGCTTACTGATCGTAACTGTGAAGCAGAAGAACAACTTCTATCTCACGTCCCGGGCAGCATTCAATCGATCTGTCATCGGCGCTCAACCTACTTTAATGTCCACAGCTGAAACCCTGGGCACAATCTGTCTTACCGCAAGCTGAACACAACACACTGCGCCGCCTCATTCACCCGTTTCTCACCCGTTTCTTAGATTAAATAAAAAATATCAAGACCCCTTCTCTAGGAAGTACGGGGGCGTAAGCCCCCAGCTTCAAGTTGTTTCCCCAAGGCATGGGCATGGGAATAGAAATCGTCGCCTCCCTGTCTTACCCTTCAAACACGCTGTACCCTTGGTTCGGTGCCAAAAAGACAAATTTAAAACACATAGTACATCCGAAATAGGCACTATCACTAAAGGGGCTGATCAAGTTGCGCCGAAACAACCGCGCGTCCGTACTGCTATATGTACGGCGTTTCCGTTCTAGTATGTAAACGTGTTAAAAACGAGACCGTACCCGATCAAATATTAGTGCGCGCTTTTACCGTATAGACAGTATACGCAAGTCACAACACACGCTCCCCAACACAACATGAGACAGACATTTTAACCCACTGCATCACTCGAAACAACAAATCAACACCGAGCAAGGGACAAAAGTCGTGCGCCAAGAACAACAAGCGCGCAGCACCAAAAAAATACATGCAACTACTTTCACCACATGAGAATAAAAATGAACAAAATGTCATCATTTTGCGCGAGCCACCGTCAGTTAGCCGGACCGCGCAGGACGAAAACTTCGGCCAACGAGCAACCGCAATTAGTGCATGCAGTCCACGTCCCTGGACGGATCAACGCAGCTGCAGAAAGCCGCGTCCAAATCGTAGCTCTGTGAGAAGCGAACACGGACAAGCAGGGTCGGGCACAGGGTTTGGGGGGGAATTGGTAAGGAGTCGTGCCGCTAGGTATGGTGCAGAAACACCGGCCAACGTGCTTGCGTTGAAGGCGTTCAGCTCCTTCTACACCCCCATCTACAGCCGTTCCACAAGACTTCCGAAACCGATGAAAGGGCGCTTGACTAGATTCCAAGAAAATCTATCATACAAGGTGAAATAGACGTACGCAACGGAAGATGTTACGCACCTTCAGGATGGTGTCAAGGCCGAGGGCATTCGCCTCATCGCACACGGAATTGCCCAAGTTGTACTCGACGTTGTACACGGGCTTGCCCTCCGCAAGGAAGGTATCCTCGTAAACATTGCACTCGTTCCACTCGTGGCACTCCTCGTTCAGCGCGAAGTCGAATTTGTTGACGAGTATTGGGACCAACTCCACCGCGTTCTTAAGACCTGGTGGCGGTGAGAGAGAGGGGACAAGGGCAGTATTTGAGAGACACGTGACAAGCGACGCCCAGTTTCAGGTCCGAACGGTTTTAACACGTGCACTACTCGGCCGAGCGGGCAGGCCCTTAAGTCCAGGACGGCGCACAAAATAACAACCAAAAGACACCCGTCCAGCACTGGCACATCCACCAGCTTGCGAAGACAAAGACTTACCGACCCCCATGCCGTAAGCGTGCACGATGTCAGCGAACCAGGAGTTGTACTCGATCTGTTCCGCTTCGGACACGCTGACGCCAGTCGAGGAACCCTCGGTGTAAACCATCATGTTGTCAGGTTCCTGAGCAACAAATAGGAAAGAACGGGGACGGAAGAGGGTGTATTAGATGGTGGGTCAGTGTGGTTTAGCAACGTGACATACGTTTCATGTCGCACTTCGCCCTGTGCGACCCGGGCGGGAACGGCAAAAGTCTAGACAACTGTACTGCGTATAACATAAAACAAAAACGACTAGACTGCAGTACACGTCAGCACAACACGTAGCCTATACCCTACAGAGTATATGCGCATGCCGGCATCTCTTTCCGAAAAACCGAACGGCCGGTGCACAAGCCCCACGTTTTGACGGGGGCGAGAACCCATTTTTCGTATCCTCGACACTGTGAAATCGGAATGACGCCATTTGAACGTGGCTCCAGGTCGAACAAACGATCATAACTTATAGCTGTACTCACCACAGCGTCGCAGTTCATGCTGGAGGCCATTTCCACTCGGGCGGTCATGATCTCACGAACATCCTGGTCGTTCACGTCGACCCACTTTTCGCCCGCCCACCCGGAGACGTCCCCGCCGATCGCCGAGGACGGGAATTCCTTCGCGTCGTCACGCCAGTCCTCAACCGTGCCGATGGAGATGTAGCAAACCACCCCCTTGCCCTTGTCGTGTAGCTCGTCGATGACGCCCTGGCCGGCGTCTGAGCAGTAAGAGGAACAGGGTGGACGTTGCATAAAACGAGTTCTTGAGTATTGTAAAAAATGAAGCACATGTCGAGTGTCTCCTGTGTAGACGAGTCTCGATCTCATGCAACAAAAGCCCAAAACCAGCAGTCTTTTGCAAGAACTGACTGTGATGAACCAGGCATGAGGTACGAGGTCATGGCGTCGGGAGAATTTAGCACAACGGGTAGGAAGGGCGAAAACTGCGCACGGCGGTCTGCAAAAAACACATGGCTCATCAGTCTACCAACCCAAGGAATGCGTACGAAGCTCGAGGCAACAAGACCACGGCAGACTGTTGCGCTTGTACAGCAGTAGCCCTGACAATATTATCTCAAAGCCTTTACTTGACGGACGGATACGGCCACTGCTGCTGCACTGGTACCCAATTCAAAAAGGCACACATCGATTTCGACTGCTGCTGCGAAGCACCCGACGTACCCATGTCGATGAAGAAGACGTCGACGTCCGCGGATGTGTCAACGGGTGTCCTCAAATTGTAGTTCCAGCTGCTGTCGCGTGAGAAGGTGAACCCTCCGCCGGAACCGGGTTCGGGCGACCCAGGCTTTTCTGTTGGGGTGGGTGCTGGCTCAGACATGGGCTCAGGCGATGGTGTCCGCTCTGGCTCATAAATCGGCTCGGGTGTTGGTGTTGGCTCTGGCTGAGGGTCGGGCTCAGGCGTAGGTGACGGTTCAGGAGACGGTGTGGAGTTGTCACTTTCGTCTTGAGATGAGTCATCGCTGCTGCTGGTGGTGGTGCTCTGCTCACATGTCGTCAGCTGGGTGACGAGCGACGCGATCTCGTCGTCTTTGGCGCCGTACTCGGTGGAGAGCAGCATGACCTCCTCTTGCAGCTGAGTGACGAGCGACAGAAGGTTGTCGAAGTTCGTAGCTGCCCGCGCAATGCGCGGCGCGGCGGTTGCCGCAAGGCAGACCGAGGCAATGTGGGCGAACTTCATTGCGTATTGGGTTGGGTAAGCTACCTACTGTAGGTCGAAGAAGAACTGGCTGTGAGAGGAAGCAGTGGGGAGGGTGGATGGTATGAGGAAGTGGGGGAGGCAGATAGTGGTGGGTGTGGTGGTGAGAGGGCGTCGCGTGTGTGCGTTGAGCGGATATGTTTAAACAATTCCGAAAGATCCTGTTTTGGGTCGTTTGGAAATTTTGTCCGGTAGCTCTCACCCGTGACTCGGAAGTTTCTCCGCGATTCCTCGTGGTGTCAACGCGCCGCTGCGCCGCTCTCTGTTGGAGACCACCGCACTGGACTGTGTTATGTTTCATCTCAGTTTGCTCCAGCCGGTGTAGTACATCACTTTCCACACACACACGCATTTGTAATGCGCAACAAAACTAAAGTTGGAAATGTGGAGCGCGGCAGCAGCTGCAAACAAACTTGTTTCAGTTGCTGGAAAGAATGACCGGCAAGCTGCAGTCGTTTTCTTCAACAGCTCTTTACCTCCGCACTTGCAAACAGTCAGTTTAGTCTTTTTGCATCAACAGCACTTGTGAACAGTCATTTTTTTCGGATCTTTTACCGTTGAAGGAACAAAAGATACCCCGCAGCGTATCATTCCTTGAGTTCGTGTTTGTTGTTGTTGTTGTCTTCACATGAAAACGGTTCCGATCTCTCTCTACCCAGTACCTTCATATGTCCGTACTGATCCAACACTTGACGCGATCGATTCCGGTGTTCAAAGGCTACCTTGTCCTAAAAAAGGTACACTCAAATAACCTGGCCCCGAGGGGTCCGCAAGTCAATAGAAATCAACAACAGATATTCTGGAGTCCTATACGCTCCCTCTGCGCGCTATTCGAGGTAACAACTGAGACTAGGAGTCAGCATCACGGGCCAGAGAGAGCGAGGTACACCCCGTTGGTTCAATCTTGGTACACTTCATAACGGAAGCAGAGACAAGCCATCTCTCAGAAAAAGAGAGAAAAAAGAGAAAAAATAACGGAAACAGGAAGGAAAGAGCAAAGAAACATACAAAAAACGTGTTTGGAAGAGTTTGATTTGGATTTTAGTTCGTCGTTGGTCTGTTGTCTGTTGGGAAATGTTCTTTTTTTTGTCGGTTGCGTTTTCTCAACAAAGCAGCGTGTGAGCGCGTGTACGGCAGCAGTAGCGCCGGATTTTTTCTGTTGTGTCCACAAGCAGTGTGTGTATCGCGGCGGCAGTAGTGCCGGATTTCGTCTGTTGTGTCCACAAGCAGCATGTGTATCGCTGCGGCAGTAGTGCCAGATGGAGGCCGGCCCGGCGGTTTTGCTGCACATGTGCACACATACACAGCAGTCTTCGATATGTACATGTGCTGCACAATACACAACCTAGTCTTACTACAGCAGTAGGCATCCTGACATTAACAGATTTTCAGTGTTTGCCTCAATACTCCGTACATGAATTCGGAGTACGGAATGAACACATGCAATAATACCGAGAGCTCACGACATGCTCACCGGTTTGTGTTTGCCAACAATTACAGCAGTACATTCACAAAGCGGCTGGCTCTCTCTGTCCAATTTTGGCCCGGCGACTGCTTGCCGTATGTACATACATCCGGTAGTTGGTCTAACGCACAAAAACACGGTATAGATAAAATCATCTTGCTGCAGCGAGACTGCATATCAGCCCAGCTATACACTCTACAGCACAGCATTTTTTGTTAGCGGTGGGATGCCAAGGAAGGAATTGCGGTGAACGTGCCAGCCCCATCTACACATACATGTGTGCCTCCTCCTCTCCACCACCACCACCACCACCACCACCACCACCACATCGTCCAACCGCAGGTTTCCCGCTGTTCAACTTGCCACCCGCCTCGCGTCAGGTTTTCGCTGTCCACGTCCTTGCACTCTTCTTGCCGCCCGTTGCACCACCCTTACCGCCGGCCCTCCCAGTTGTACTCTTGCCTTCTGTGGGCATCGTAAACTTGAGCGGGACGACAGGGTCGGGGTAGACACCCGTCGGTACCGCGTGTACGTCCCTCAGTGTTGCCGTGATTCCCCCGGCAGACTGCGTGTGTTTCGGTTGCCCAACAGCCGGCGCAACATCATGTTGGAAGGGCCAGGAACAGGGAGACGGGGGGGGGGGGG